ATTCCCAAGGGAACTTTTTGGATTACAAGGCATCATTGAAAAGTTGTGCTAGATATAGTGCTAAAATGTTTTGGAATTTGGTGTAATATAAATGTGTGTATTCATCCAGTCTCGGTGCCTTCCCTTTTGGCAGTCCCTTGGCGAATACATTGCATATATCTCTCGGGATGATTCAAGGGACACTGTAGGCACTGTAACTGCTTCATTTCATTAAACTGATTATAGTGTCCAGAGTTCCCAAGTTGCATAATTTCATTCAGCATTAAACAGTTTTTCATATTTTTTATGTTTCAATGCTGAATTAGAGTCCCCCGCAGTCCCCTATGTGCTGCTTCAGCGAATGAGGAAGTACTAGCATGAGCAGCAATGGGCAGCTATGTATAATCAGAAATATAATCAAACCATGGTTTCCAGTTCTTATAATATAAGGGCAAACTACCGTTCCTGGCATAGGAGTGACGTTTCCTTGATGTGAAATTTGGGGATTCAATTTACACCATTCTCTGGCTATACAGATTGTTATTGCTTATAAGATTTGAATAACTAAGTATTTAAGTGTGGTTTAAATACATTTTTAATGAAAAATATTTGAGCGTACTCTCACAGTTTCATCTTCAATCCAATGCAGTTGTGGGCAGTCCCACCAAATATGGTCCAGGGTTCTTTGAGATTAAGTACATCTCCAGCAGCATTTAGGGATAGTTTTATCAAACATACAAATACCATAAATATAATGAAGGGACCATGTACCAACAATGCAATAACTTATACAGTTACACCTATTTTAACTTCTAACCAAATCTCTCACCATTTCTGGACGGGAAATACAAACTCAAATTCACTTTCCCACTTCCCAATAGGAGGAATTGTTGAAAAATGTTGATTATTATTCATATATTTAATATGGATATTAATTTGTTATTATACTGTTTTTCAATAAAGTTGTCAAGTTTGGTTAAAGAGATATTGGAATTATTTTTAAAGAAGTTTTTAATCCTCAAATAGAGAAACACATCTCGACTAGAGAGATTACATTTTGCTTGGAACGGACTAAATGGCAAGATACCAGTATTTAATTTGATATCTGCTAATGTATATTTACCCATACTAGTCCATCTATATATATCCTGTACTTAAGATGTAAGTATGTTAATAGGGGTAAAGGGCATAAATAAACTCCTTAATACCCATCCTTGTACCTGGTTGTATCCTGACAGCTATGTTTTATCTTCCTTTTGTTTCTGTTCCTTTTAAGAAGAAGTTCCAGCTCTTAACCACTAGTGGCCTTCCTAGTCACCTCAATCCTCACCTGCCTAGGACTAATTACTTGCTATAGCTACATAAGGCTATACCCTGCTCACAACAGGGCCTTTACATTGAAGTTGGTGAACTACATGAAAGATTTCAGTTCCTGGCTCCTGTGGACCTGCTCCAGACTTACCCTCAACCCTGCTCCATACCAACCTGCTCCACTCTTACGTATGATTTTTGACATCTGCCTTTGTTACCAGCCTGCCTTTGATCCCTACCTGCCTTTGTTTCAACCCTACCTGGAGATAACAGACTTTCTTTATTATTTGCAAGTAACCTGTTCTGTGGCATTTTGCTTAAGTCTGTTTTCCGTTAAGCTTCCTAATATGTCTAAAAACACTGATAAAGTGCATGAAGCCAACCCTGGCATAAGTCTCCTATCTGACCTGCACAAGATCATGACAGCATCTTTTAAAACTGGGTTATTCATATTTAAAGAATTAACTAGAAGGTGTTTCTTCCAAAATAGGTCAAATGGATTTTGAACTCCCAATTGAAAACTCTCACAAGAAAACCAACCCGTATTCCGGTTCTTTTTAAGATCCCAAGCCAAAATATAAGCAAGCATTGTCTCATCATGAAGTAAATTTAAAGCGGCACTGTCATGCCAAACTTACCTTTCCCCAATCTCTTCCTCTTCTCCCCCTCTCTCAGGATCTGTTCTTCTTTTCTTCCTGTCTTCTTTAGTTTTCTTTAAAATCATAAGACAAAGTAGGGACTCTTTGCCTTATGGAGGATTCCTCCGCTTGACCAGCTCTGACCAGCGGAGGAGCAAAGTGTGCTTCATTTCCGCTGGTGAGAGCAATTTCCTCATGATCCTTACCTTCCCTCTGTGTTCCCACAATGCTTCCTGTCACTTTACACAAAATTGCCGAATTGCGTTCTAACTGAATGAGAACAGTATGTTCGTTTGTTTTAGAACGCAATTCGGCACTTTATTCGGATCGGAATTTCATTCTAATGAATGAAACTCCGATCCTATTCATTGCTGTGGCTGCATCTTGCAGCTGCTTAGTAGATAACTCCCTAATTCCCACGGTATCAGGGAGCTATCTACTGTGGGGGCCATAGTGAGAATGAGGGGGGGGAACTACTGCCCCCACCCCTGGGCGGCGGGTGGGGGCCATGAAGATAATGAGGGGGGGACCTACTGACCCCCCCCGGCCCCCACCCCTGGGCGGCGGGTGGGGGCCATAGTGAGAATGAGGGGGGGACCTACTGCCCCCCCCGGCCCCCACCCCTGGGCGGCGGGTGGGGGCCATGAAGATAATGAGGGGGGGAACTACTGTCCTCCCCCCCCGGCCCCCACCCCTGGGCGGCGGGTGGGGGCCATAGTGAGAATGAGGGGGAGGGACCTACTGCCCCCCCCGGCCCCCACCCCTGGGCGGTGGGTGGGGGCCATAATGAGAATGGGGGGGACCTACTGCCCCCCCCGGCCCCCACCCCTGGGCAGCAGGTGGGGGCCATGAAGATAATGAGGGGGGGGACCTACTGTCCTCCCCCCCCCGGCCCCCACCAAGGTGACTAGGGGTCCCCAAGCCCCTAGTCACCCACCCCCCACCCAAAAAAAAAGTCCCTACTGTCACGAACGCACCCTACTCCAAGAGTGTGCGTGACGTAGTTGTGGTGGTGAAAGGGTTAAAGTACACTATTTGTCTGCACTAGACCGGAAATAATGACAAAATCCCCCTTTAACACCACCCACACTTAAACATAATAATATAACTATTACTACTTTAACGCTGCCACCACCAAGACAATTTATAAATGGGGTGCCTTGGTCCCCCAGGTAAATCAATAATAAAACCCACCAAATATTACTTAATACAATATTTAAGGAATTATAAAAATACTAACTAGTCTCTTCAGGTAACGTGATTCTTAACCAGACAAAGGCAAAACTTAATAAATGAATGTTTATTATGAGCAAAAGATAGTCACAGTGCATATAAAAATATATGATAAACAAATTATTTATACCAACAACAGATAAAAACAAAAAGGATAAAATACAGAAGTCCTAATTACTCACTTAGGTTTTCAAAGTACAACTTCTGTCCAGGGGGTCTCTGGCAAGGAAAGATGGTGACTCACCCAAAATTAGATCTTGGCCCCAAGCAAGTACACCAACACCCTTCAGGATCATTAGATATATACCCTGTGGTTTATCAAGTCTTGCCCAGGGGTGGAGTTAAGGCATACCTACAGAAATAATAACTGACCACCTCCTTTGTTCCAGACCACTGTCAATCCAAATGGAAACATTTGACTCTATCTTCTTTTTTGTACCTGCCACAGAAATAATAATTGCATCTACAAATTTGTTATTATTTTCCCATTCCATAGACATGTTGCACGTCCCACCCACGATCCAATAGGACGGACATCACAATTCCTTTCCCTAGGGTCAAGTTAGGCCACTCATGTTTGGACTTGGTTAGAAGATGGCGCTTGTCACATTCCAAATATAACAAAAATGAGGCTTAATTATTATTCTGTGGGGGGTAAATATGAATGTTTTTTGTCCTTCCTTTGGATATGATACTAGAACAAAGCTAATGGCATTTACATATCAAAGAGATTTACTCATCCCTTACAAGGTACAGGCCAAATGGATGAAGAGATATTCAGACTTTTTCCAAGTGTAGAACCTCACACCTTGCAGAGCTTTTATTACTTCACATCCATATAGTAAAATCCTTTTCACATTCCTATGCCATTCACACTACCCCTTCTGTCATCTGCCCTCTGTGGGGGAGCTTCAAAAGATGTAACCCCTGTTGACCTCAGCAATAGCATCTCTGTAATTTGTGCCATTTACTACAAGAAATCACATTAAAAGATGATATTCCATAGTGTCATAATAAATTATACACCCTTGCCGTGACACCTACCTACCCCCCTCACCCTAAAAAATAGTGAGGGGGGGATAAAATAACTAACCTGTAAAATAAAATTAAACTTACCATTCGACGTCTTCTTTTTTCTCAAATCTTCATTTTTCAGCCCCAAAAAAGGCCAAATAAAAAACCATCATAACCGTCGAATTAAATAAAATAAAAATCCAGAAAAAAAACCAGGCGAAAAAAAAAAAAACCCTGTGGCTGCTCACTGTAAAAAAAAAACAAAAAACTATTGGCCCCCACCCCTAAACGACGGGTGGGGGCCCTAAAGTAAAATAAGGGGGGAGACCAAATTACCTACTGCCCCCCCCCCCGGCCCCCACCCCTGGGCGGCGGGTGGAGGCCATAGTGAGAATGAGGGGGGGGGACCTACTGCCCGGCCCCCACCCCTGGGCGGCGGGTGGGGGCCATGGAGATAATGAGGGGGGGGACCTACTGACCCCCCCCCGGCCCCCACCCCTGGGCGGCGGGTGGGGGCCATAGTGAGAATGAGGGGGGGGACCTACTGCGCCCCCCGGCCCCCACCTCTGGGCGGCGGGTGGGGGCAATAATGGGGGGGGGAACCTACTGCACCCTCCCCCGGCCCCCACCCCTGGGCGGCGGGTGGGGGCCATGAAGATAATGAGGGGGGGACCTACTGTCCTCCCCCCCCGGCCCCCACCCCTGGGCGGCGGGTGGGGGCCATAGTGAGAATGAGGGGGAGGGACCTACTGCCCCCCCTGGCCCCCACCCCTGGGCGGTGGGTGGGGGCCATAATGAGAATGGGGGGGGACCTACTGCCCCCCCGGCCCCCACCCCTGGGCAGCGGGTGGGGGCCATGAAGATAATGAGGGGGGGGGACCTCCCCCCTCATTCTCACTATGGCCCCCACCCGCCGCCCAGGGGTGGGGGCCGGGGGGGAGGACAGTAGGTCCCCCCCCCATTATCTTCAGGCCTCCACCCGCCGCCCAGGGGTGGGGGCCAGGGGGGGCAGTAGGTCCCCCCCTCATTCTCACTATGGCCCCCAACCGCCGCCCAGGGGTGGGGGCCTGGGGGGGGCAGTAGGTCCCCCCCTTCATTCTCACCTTGGCCCCCACCCGCCGCCCAGGGGTGGGGGCCGGGGGGGGAGTACTGCATCCCCCCCAATTCTCACTATGGCCCCCACCCGTCGTTTAGGGGTGGGGGCCAATAGTTGTTTTTTTATTTATTTTTTACTGTTTAGTGGACATGCCCCTACTCGCGGTATAGCGAGTAGGGGCATTTGGGAGATTTTAATCTCCCTTGTGCTATTATGGGGGTCATATTGACCCCCATAGAGTGAGAGGGGGACCTGTGGGGGCTTATGAAGTGGTCCCTGTCACTTCTATCTTTACATATTACAAGGAGGGAGCTGCGTGCCGGTAGCTCCCTCCTTGTAATAACCTGCACGAACAAACTAACACTGATACATAGTGTTAGTTTGTTCGGCTGATCTTTCTATTCACTCATTCGTCTGTCTGATGAATGAATGAATAGATGAAATTCCCGTTCGCATGTCCAGGTGTTTCACTGGGCATGTGCGGGAATCTCACAGGCTATCTAGTGTGGGCTGATGACGTGTCCCACAGGGACTTCATCTACCCACACAAAGATGGCGGCGCCCTGGATAAAGATCGGGGCAGAAAATAAGGATTAAAAAATAGGTAATGTGGGGGGCTTAGGGGCATTTGAGGGTGACTAGTGGGTCAATTGGATGTAGTGGAGGCGGGAGGGGGGTTAAAAAAAAAACAGAATTCGGCATGACAGTGCCGCTTTAAGTCTTGAAAGCTCAGACCCTACTGAGTACTGCCCCTCTTTGTCATATTTTGGGTAATTCTAGATTTCTTGACATGACAAAAGAAATTAGTTTTTATTTAATTTATCTAGAGTGATCCTGAAACACAAACTGGAATCATTTTGATCAGGTAGATAATCTTAGGAACTGAATAGGCTTTGACCATGTTAATCCTACCCAACCATGAAGCAAAGTTTTTCATCTTATTGATCTTCAGGTTTAAAAAGTTGAAAGAGTAGATTATAATTATCTAAGTGAATGTGATTAAGATCAAATGTTATTTAAGGCACCCATATACTCAATCCAGTCTGTGGCGAAACCGACCTCGCCACTGGGCATTGAAGAAGACTGATTGCCAGCCTCCTGCCATGTGACTATGGTCCCTGGGATGTATTGCCCTTTAAAGACATGATTTGGGCATAATGGATTTGTGTTGTGCTGCTGCTGGCCCTTTAAGAACCATCTGGGGACATACTGTGGAGTTACTGGGTGGCCATCATTTCCTGTATCAGAGGCACATGGTAAGAACAATGGATGAAGCACATGGTGAGAACAGTGGATGGCGGCACAGCCACTGTTTGGACTTTTCAACGCGGTGCCATCTCGCCAGTATTTGGTGCACAGAGACATCGTGCAGTGGTTTTGGACTATACAGCAGGGGACACATTATACAGTGATTGTTTTTCATTTAGCCTGTATATGTTCTGCAGAATCTGCATTAAACTGTATCTTCCAAAGTACTGAACGGATCTGGGTGAATTTTGGATATGTGGTTCACCCAGATCCCCCGGTTCCAAGGATATACTTTATGGGGTTATTGCATGTTTTGGGGTCCCTGTGATGTGTTTTATGAAACTGTATTTCTCTGTCTGTGATAATTAGATTACCCATTGTGTTCAGTAATCATATCACAGGCAGAGGGGAGGATTTTGTGTGGGAGTGTCTTGAGTGTATTGTACGTGTTATTGGTTGTTCTGTAAAACCCTGTGGGCAGTACTAAGTTTGTGGATTGGGAATAAAAGAGGCTGTATGTGCCAGTCCAGTCAGTTCCTGCTTAACTCTCAAAGTGAAGTGTCGTCTCATTATTGGGGGAGGATTTATTGTATGCTGTTCCAGCTTGACTGCTAGGAGTCTAAGCCCATCCGTATGGTTTTTTGCCTATTCAGCTGTTTATAGCATTCATATGCTTCTCTGGTTCGGTGATTGTGGTGTCTGCCAGAGTGTTTGGAGTCCTCAGGAAACGCTAGGAGCATCCTTCAACGGAGGTACCCAGTTGGGGTGCCAAGTGATCCGTTACACAGCCTTTATTCCAGTAAAAATTTAATTTATTTTGTTTTTGGAGAGAAGTCAGACCATTTCAGATAATTCTAGACTTGGGTAAAGTTAATTTAAAATTTGAGTATAAACTGTATTCCCCAAAAGCTGTAACTACTGCAGAGATCTATGTTTCAGGAGAAGAAAGAGTAAGTAAAATATCATCGGCATAAAGTGTGATTATGAATCTGTCTATTAACTTCTATGCCCTTAATCTCCAATCTTATTGTTGCAGCTAAAGGTTCTAGAGAGCGAGTAAAGCAGAGGAGACAAAGAACAGCCCTGCCTTGAACCATTTTGTATTCTGAAAAAAATAGAATTTAAAGAGGAACCAGTAACCGTGGCACTAGGATTACTATACAGAGCTAAAGAGCATTTCTTAAAAAACAACAGAATCCCAAAACTTCTAAAGTCTTGGATAAAAAGACCCAGTTAACCCTGTCAAAGTCCCTCTCAGCATCTAATGCCAAGAAGACAGATGGGCAAACTTTTGTTATTTCAACAAGATCATATCTGTTACTTTATGATAATTATCTTCTCTAGATCTACCAGTGATAAACCTGGATTGATCTGGATAAATTTGATCTGCAATGATTAATTTCAGTCTATCGGCCAGTTTTTTTGAAAATACTTGAATGTTTAAATTGATGAGAGAAAATGGTCTGAAATTTGATAGAAGACTAGGATCTTTCACAGTTTTTGGAATTGGACAGATAGAAGCTGTTACGAGTTGCAAGGTCTCTTAGTGTCCCTTGGCCACTGCTTCTCTAATCCTTTGCTGGACCTGGATTCAGTCAAGGAGTAGTGATTATAGCCCTCTGAAACCCTGTGAAATAACCCCACTATAGTGGACAAGACCAATCGTATTGGTTAAACATGAAAACTGTTTATTGCAGAGAAAAAACACATATTTATATCCCTACACACATTGGGGGTCTTTAACCCCTTAAGGACCAAACATCTGGACTAAAAGGGAATCATGACATGTCAGACATGTCATGTGTCCTTAAGGGGTTAAGCAGAACAATGCAAAGTACTCGCTGGTGTCTGGGACATATTAAGGTCAAGACATGATAATTTAATTACCTGCTGAACACCAAGACACATTGCACAATAACTGTTACAAAATATAATTAACACAATAGCTTTAATCCAGTTCAACGTTTTACAATATAACTGATCACATACAACAAAGAAACCTACAGCATCTATTTGAGAATGACCCCTCTTTCCCTCATAGACTTAAACAACCTAACCAACAGATGGGAAATCAGGGGGTCCGCAATTTTATAAAATAAAGCTGTGTGTCCGTCAGGACCCAGTGATTTCCCCATTTTCAGATTCAAAATCGCATCCTCACTTCCCATAAGGAAAACAGTGATGGAGAGAATGCTAATTTTCTTTTGATATTCTAGGCATGGTCAGATTTTGCAAAATATCCTTTATTACGGGTCTAGAGGTGTTTAAGGTTAGATAGTGAGCAATAGTAATTCCTGAACACTTCAGCTATTTGTAAAGGATCCGAAAGGACAGTCCCACCCACTACGAGACGCTGGATCCTAGATCTCTCATATTTTTACTTGACATAGAAGAAAATCTTCAGGTACCGGGACAAAAGGATTCCTAGAACCTGCTCACCAGTTGCCACTCCAGAGGTGTCTAAGGGCTTATCCCGATCATACAACAATCAGTTGGAATGAGCACATACTTCATAAAATTTGAATACGTGCTATCTGGAATAAATGTTGTATCCCACATGGTATAGTCTCAATATGTATAGTGTGTGACCGAGAATCACTTTACATTATTTTAGAAAATAAAGTGACAGTACAAGCCTTCTAAGGCTACTCCTTTACCTAACCTGATGATCTATAGTAGAGATAGATATGACTTGTGTAACGGACCGTTTTGCACAAAAGGGGTAAAAAGGGGTTAACAGCCGTTTAGGAGATCTTCCCCTTCCAGAGATACAGGCACAGCTACTGCAGAACACCAAACTCCCGAACTGGATACAAAATAGCACTCCAACTCCCGAACTGGAACCTCCCAAATAGCTGCTAGCAGACGAACAGGAAAAGCAGACAATCAGCTTACACTCCTGGCAATCAGTCTCTAACAGCATACAGTGAATCCCCCCAAGAACGAGACAAGGCTCCGTGTTGAGGGTCAAGCAGTGGTCAGACAGAGCTGTGGGTTTATTGTGCTTATGTACACATTCTTACACATTAGTACCACCCTCAGGGTTTTGGAACACAACCAATAAACACATACAATACACTCAGACACTCCCACACAAATTCCTCCCCTCTGCATGTGATTCAATTACCTTACACAATGGGTAATGTAATTTAGCACAAGCAGAAAAATAAAATTTTTCCACATTATTCATAACTTGAAAAGTATGCATCACATTCACATAAAATTACATTATAAATTGATTCTTACATTTTCCGAATCAGCATACTCCAAATACAAACATACATCAAAATCATACAAATTGGTCCAGTGGTTCAAAAGATAGATCGTAGTCCTTTGTGACCACAGGAAGCATGGCTTTACTGCCCAAAACCAGTTCCACATAGTCTTCTATCCTGGAGATAATTAGAAGTAATCCAATTATCTCCAAAGACAGAGGCAAAACTCCATTGAGCACATGGCAGCAAAAAGACAGTAAAATACAATAAAATACACAAGGTTACATTTATGACATAAAATACAGACATTCAACATATCCCCAGATAGCTCAGATCTGAGCGCACATTATTACTGAATGGCGCTCAGAGCACA